GCTGACGCCTACTACTAGTGGTCCCGATATCCGCAAATCTATTACAGTGAGAGAGAAGTACCAGCAAACCTCGTATGCACACCCACCACGACCAGCGGATCTTGGAGCGCCTTCCACCTCTGGAACCCAAAATTTTGGAGATCAAGTCTCCTTAGACCAGGTCGGGCCTCTGAGCAGATCCCAGCAAGTGTTGCCCCCATATCACCCCATTATATCCACGTTCCATTGTCTTCCTGCCCTTATTGTGAGAAGGCGTATGCTTGAAAGTGTGAAATGCGTGGTCTGGAACAGGCATCAGCCAGCGGGCTGGGTCATGTGTCCACAGCTGAAATGCATCCACCTGCTAGATGGGACACAAGTTTTAGACAACCAAATGTGGGTAGCGTACCCTATACTATGTCGGCGTCCACAATCTTCGGTCCTATCCCTCTTGAGCAGGTGGCATATGCCGGCCCACCGGCAGGAGAACAAAGTGACCAGGTGGGTCCTGTNCAAAGTGACCAGGTGGGTCCTGTTTTGATTCAAGATCGGGTGAGCATGAACAGTCTTGAGCGTGTGCAACTTCAGCGTTAAACTCGGAAATTCATCACGTTGTCACGTTGTCCTTGTTACTGCTGCTCCCTACGTTGTAAAAAGTTCGCAATAAGTAGGATGAAATTGTTTTTGCGGTATGCAGTCGGTGTCTACGCCACCGCCCCTCACAGTCTTGGGCTCGTTCGCCGTTCCTATCTGGCTCGAGAGCATGTACCGAGGGGTTCCTGACCGAATTCTCCAAACTCATCCATTCTATTTTCATCCGCAAAGGCAGGGCAACTTGGGCAGAAGTTTCTGCCCAAGAATAGCAGCGTCTTTTCGCCCACTGCGCAGAGTTCCACTACAGGCAATGGAGCAATGCAGGCGCCTGATGAAAAAGAAACAGCTTACTACCGCGGAATTTCAAGACCTTGTGCACGTCACAGAGCGTTTGGTTGGGTATGCAACGGGATGCATGCCGAAGTTTGTTGTAGCGGAGTCCCTTATTCCCGCAGTAAATTCCCTGGGATCAATTTTTCTCGTACTTGATGCGCTATATTGTGCTGCTGAAGCACTGGGGGAAAATGCCAACAGAAGTTTATGGTGGCCAGACGTAATTAGACACATAAGAGGGGTAAGGTATCCGCCGGTGGAACGCCGCTCTAGGAA